CCCCAAAACCCCAAAACCCCAAAACCCCAAGTAATTGAAATATTCAATATAACTGCTAATTTAATGATTATTAAATAAAAGTTAATTATTATTCATCTCATGATTCGTTTCAATTCCAATTTTATTAGGATAACTTTGCATCATAGATATGATCATTTTCTAGCTTTCAATTACTTCAAGACGAGTAATTGTTTAGTTAGCTTTTGATATTAATCCTCCTCTGGACACAATTTTTATTGTATTCTTCTTACCTCATCATCAAAAGCCCATTATGATTCTTGATTATTTGGAGCAAATTAAGCATATAGCCTTTGAAGTTTCAGAACTTAAATTGTGTTTAATTTCCCATTTGCAAGATCTACCTAGATTTTGTTGAATACTTTGTTTAAAAGCTACTCAGCAAGCAAATTACTAGACATGGATGAAAAATATCCAATCCGTATAATCTTTTCATATAAATCTTCGACACTAATGCTATCGATAATAGCTTAGATATCTTAACTCAGTTAAGTAATGATATTCTTAATAATTGAGTTATCAAATAGCATCACTGAACTTAGTAAATTGATTGCTTGACCATAGTTTTTATCTTAAATGTCCTAATTGAACTACTGCATTACCAACCCTTGAATCGATTTCCAGTTCAGATTGTTAAATATGCCCACAAGATCAGACCCTTCAGAGAGTGACCTACTCCTATCATTTTCTTCTATTAGACTTAAGACATATCTATAAGATGCCACCATATATCCAATCTTCTCAGTTGTAAGATTATTCTAGATATCTTGGTTAATCTTTTCCCAGCTGAAATGCTTCTTCATAAATCTGATTATGTTAATCTGAATCTTCACATCTTGCAAATGCTCTAGACCTGTTGCCATTAATCCAACTAATTCAACAAAGTTAGATTTTTCGAGCTCTTAGTGGCTTTCCTACCTAAGTCTTTGCTATATTCCCTTGATAAAGAATTCTGGAGGTTAAAGCATATAAACGCTACATCTTTTCAGGGTCAGTAGATATCGTGATGCTGGCTTAAATAGTTTCTCGTCTAAAATTCCTAGAAGTTCACAGACTAGAGAGATATTCTGATAAATAATATGGTTGGGGCCTTGTGAACTCTTTTAAAGGTTGAAATCTGATTCAAAAATGGAATCAACAATATCATATATCTACCCTGGAACTATTTTATGGAGATATTAAGTATTTTTAAGCAACACCTTCAAGAATGCATTGTTAAGTTGGGATGTTTTAACATTGAGATCTAGATACTTAGATATAAAAGACATTAATTTTCCGAATGATAGATCAATAAACTTGGCCTTGATCGGATCAAAATACTTGTGAAAAAGAATCTCATCTCTTGGCTTTTACATTGCAAGTATAAAGAACAGATCAGAATGATAATTATTCCTAGTGAAGTTAAGCAGTGAATCACCGCTGAAGTATGTGTCCAAAAACTAAAGATCAAATAAAACAAAATCAGATTACTTTATCAAAGAATGTGAGGACTTGAGAGTGAATAACCGGAAGGTCTCTGTAGTAATAAATGAGTCTACCGAATGAAGTCTTATCAACAAGCTTAATACCTTCTACAATTTTCTATAATAAGGCATTTGTGTATTCTTAGTGGTGAGTTGTATAGCTCTCCATCTAGCTCAATAAGAATAATTGCTAGATCATATACGAATGTTTAAGCACATCATTTTTTTATATAGCCTTTATTTTTTCTGCTATCTAAATCAATATTGGTTAGCAATAGAATATTACATTAAGCTCGTTCGCTAAATAATTCTCAGGATCTTGAAGTTTAGTCTGCTTCAGCATAAGTTGAATATTTTCGTATTACAGATTTTCAAACTAGGCGTGGCATTATTATATTAAGAAATCTCTGATAATTTTTGAATCTTGGAAAAATTCAGCAATTTGGCCAAGATGTTTGATACTTTTTGCTGGTAAATTAAAAGACTACTTTAGCTTGTTCTCAACTAAAGCTTAATAAGAATTCAGCATTTGTTAAGGCAAATATTTAGCTTGCTTGCATTCAAGTAATTACCCAATATACTAAACAAGGAAATCTGTCTATATTTAATTGATGTCGGATTCAAGTGCCTATTGCAAAATAATTTCCTAGATATCTGTGTAGAACTTATTCACAAATGGAGTGCCTATAAAAATAATTAAAATAAATACTTATACTTGTTGGCAAGTACTTATAGGCTTCAGTTAGAATTAACACATCATTTTCTTACACTTCATTTACCTTATTCCTAATCACTATCAATAGTCTATCCAATATTTTGTAATCCCTATGAACCTGCTTTTATAGATAGGAATAAGCAGACAGTAGTTTGACACAGATGCTAGCTGGCTCATTATTTAAAATATCATTTTCCTTAAGAACTGATGTGAGATTTTAAAGAATTTTATGAAGTGCTGCCATTCCATTATTGCTTTCCCTAGCTTCTAAAGCTAACTTGCATATAACTTCTAGATCTAGTTTCTGCTCTGGATTCCAATTGTTAAGTCTAGCTTCAATTTCATGGATAAGTGGGGTTTCAACATACAAAGAGTAGGTATGAGTTAGAATCTAGCAAAGATATTTAAAGTCAAGAGCCTTAACTTGATCAACATACTCAGGATTATTAAAAAACTGTTTATTTCTTTATTAAACTGCATCTTTAAACTTTCGATAATGAGCTCCTTCATCTCTTTTCATTAATCTATTTATATTGTAGAGATGTGTAATTTGAACCCACTCAGATAGATCACATTTTTCGATGTTTTTCTCAACAATTTCAAGAATTTCATGATGATTTTGTCTCATGCTGATAAAATTTTAAAATTTCTTATTAAGCTCACTAGGTCTTTGTTTTGCCAGCTGTATGCAATAAATTTTAATGACTTTCGGCAGTTCCCATGAAGCCAACATAACTTTATTTCTCTATAGATATTGTAATATCTCTTCTTGAGCTTTATTCAACTAGACTCCTTAACAATTTTATTATAGCTCTCTTATTCTAGAATTACTGCCCTGGTTATCAATCGCACCTTCTACCTTAATTTGCTAAAATTGTCTTCTATTACCTTGAGAAGTGGAATTATTAGTATAGGCTTTTCGTTTATTCTGGTCTGTATTATTGTTTCTATTCCCATCTCTGTCTCTATCTCTTCTCTACCTTTATTCTCTATCCTAAGGTTCTACAATCTTCTTAACTACCACTTATTCGTGAACGATATCCTTATCAAAATCTGAAAATGCTCTTGCTTGTTGATTCATGAAGAAATGATTCCTATTTTTTACTAGCATAGCAATACCCTCTCTATTTATTCCAGATAACTTTAAAGCCTTAGTAATATTTTGAACTTTCATTTTAGACAACATTTAAGGTTATTATTAATAATATAAACAATTTTTTATTAGCTTTAATGATCTGTTGAATTAGAGTCTGGATTTTGGGGTTTTGGGGTTTTGGGGTTTTGGGG